AAATTTGCGCGGGTAAGTTTTTGTATTCTTCATTCAGTACTCAAAATAGGGGAGAGAGAGAGAGAGAGACAGAGAGAGAGAGAGAGATCTAACTCATACATTTTCATTGTAAACGCCCCTGTACACTATACCCCAACCTCCCTGGCCCAATTTTTGTGTAGTCTTGTACTTGACATCAAAGCCCCAGTCTCTCAGAGCGTGTCGTACATTGCGTTTGGTTTTCTGCCGGAGCCGTTCGGCGTCGGTGGGCGCCAACCGGCCAGTCCTCAGCCGTTTCCACATGTGGCCAACACTGGGCACATGCATACGCCCGGAGCCGCTACTCAAACGCAACGCACCGGACGAGCTCTGGTCCAAGAGTGGGCTGCGGTAGTCGGCCGGCGCCCTCTCAAAGGTGCGCTCCAGCACTTGCATCGGCAGTATTGTCGACGTACTGGCTGTGGGTAAGGCCTCAGCCACCCCCTCCCCCTCTGAGCTCAGGGAGGGTATGGACGCAGACGTGGCGTCCGATACGGCCGATGGGGTGAGCGATGAGATGGAGACAGAGCTACCACTGGGTGTTAGGGCTGAGCCCAGGGAGGAGATAGTGACGGAGTCTGAGTCGGAGTCCGAGTGCGGCGGTGTCTCCGGTACTTGGAATCTGACGCCCCGACGTCCCGGTGCGTTCCGGTCGAATGCCATGTCTGTGAGCTAGGTGATTTGTTCTTTTCAACAGTTTTACCAATATTTACCATATTATTATTTATGGTTTTTTAAAATAAAATTTTTATTATCAATTTGCAATAATTATGTTGTAAACTTTTAGTTTTAAATTTGGTAAATTAATTATACCATCTTTATTTTAGCTATTATTATGTAGTAAAATTGATCATTTGTTTTATCTTGGCAAATTAATACAGAATTATTAATTATTGAACTACAACCTACTGTACTATTTTTAAATAATCATTTAATGACACTAAACACTTGAACTAATTGTACATTTATTGTACTAATACTCATCTCCCTGTGCCCCGCACTCTATTACTTTGCAATATTTTATTAAACTTGTACGGAGCAATCAATTGGGCCAACGACCGGTCACTACCATGTTTCTGGCCAACAAGCGAGCACATATCACTGGCCAGGGCACGCATTTCGGTCATATCGTAATCGTGATAACCGCACTCCACTACTTTCTTCAACATGGTAGTGAACACCATATACAGGTGCACTAAATCGCTGCGCTGTTGCTTCCAAATGTACTCGGCGTCCACATTGACCGACCACTTGAGGCACAGGGCGTACGACATACTCAGACCAAAGTCGGCCCATTTCACCACATATTGATTGCCATACTTCGCGCTGTTTTGTTTGCCACCTGCGCTGAACAACAGTAGGTTACCGGTGTGAACATCGCCGTGAACAGCACCCACACCGTGCATGTATACCATACCTGTCCAATGGGTGCAAGATGTTATTATTTCATTATTTTATATTAATTTAGTCTCTCGCGCTCTCTCTCTCTCTCTCCCCTATTTTGAGTACTGAATGAAGAATACAAAAACTTACCCGCGCAAATTTGTCGCATAAAATCAATGGTCAACAGATCGCTCAAATGACCCAGCTCCATAAAGCTACCTAACGAACCACAATCGCCATAATCCATGACGAGAAACATGCGGTCATAGCTGACAAAGTTCACACCCGAACCCGCTTTGTACCGGGCGTTAGACACGACCTGACTTCGGCCCAAATTAATGGCCGCCCGAAAGGCCACCACATTTGGGTGTCTGAGCTCTTTCAACACCTGCTTCTCGATCTCGTGGGCCAATCGGTCTTCGGGGTCGCACTCGGCGTCAAACTGTACGTATTTGGCGGCAAACTGACCGCCCGGTGCGGCGCCCGACATATATTTGCCACGTTTTGCGTTCAAATTGTGGATCTAGTTTGCAATCAAATGTATATTTTACATGAATTTTGTAAGAAAACAATATAAGAAAAGTAAAAATAAATATGCTCACGCACATTTTTGGTATAAACACCCCGGTAGACCACGCCAAAGGCTCCATCACCCAACTCATGCTTAGTTTCAACCTTAATATCAAAGCCCTGTGCCTTCAATCGCCTCAAATCCTTTAGGGTCTTATCCGATATCATACGGGGGTTGGCATCGATGGGTTTGGCGGGTCCGCGGGCACAGGCGGTCAACTCTCGCCACAACCGTTTGCCAAACCACGGCCTATGATTGGCCGGCGGCTGATCATCGCTACTCAGGTTTATTTCACCTGCAGAGCTGCTCTGGACTACCGGTGCTGACGTAGAGACTGAGACATTGCTTTGTGATAACCGAGTTTGTAGTTGTTTAAGCGGGTCTATCGGTAGTGTTCTGGCCATGGTTGGTGTTTAGCCAGATTCCCTGTTGAATGTGGCAAATTATTATTTTTAAACATTATTGATTGTTGTATATAAATGTAATTATTGCAAAAATGT